AGCAGGAACCAACTGCCCTGGGTGACAACCTCGGCCTAATGAAGCGGGTCATTTAATTTGCCGGCGACAATGGGGATGATTTTCTATTCAGAAACCGCAGGCAGCTGCCTCCAAACACAAAGGAGGAGGGAGCCGGGGCTGTCATTGCGGTTGTCATCGGCGTCCCCAAACAAACGCGGCGGCGACGTCGTCCCTTCCATAGTGCGAAAAGTGGGAGGGGAGCAAATAAACGCGTGGCACCCGCAGCCTTTCCCGAGCTCAGCCCTCGCTGCTGCGCCCCGAGCATCTCCACCTCCTTCACCTGTGACACCTCAACACAAAGGAGGAGGGAGCCGGGGCTGTCATTGCGGTTGTCATCGGCGTCCCCAAACAAACGCGGCGGCGACGTCGTCCCTTCCATAGTGCGAAAAGTGGGAGGGGAGCAAATAAACGCGTGGCACCCGCAGCCTTTCCCGAGCTCAGCCCTCGCTGCTGCGCCCCGAGCATCTCCACCTCCTTCACCTGTGACACCTCGGAGCCGTGTGGCGTCTCCCCGACAGTTCCCTTGTCCCCTGCCATCCCAGGATGCAGGGACAGGGTGTCTGCATGCTTTGCTTTATGTCTTCTCGTCTGTGGGAGGCTGCAAATGAAGGGTATCGAAGTTTGGGCGCTCCCCCCCTCGGCTCTTACCTTCCACGAGGGACGTCAGCAGGGTGACGTTGGCAGCTTTGCGCCTGCCCGCAGGGAGATTTAGCCCGATTTTCTCCAACCTTTCCCTTAAACAGCGACCCCCGTTTTTTGATTTCGCTCTGCAAAGAGAAAAAGAAGGGGGAGGAGAATTATGATGTAATCAATGATAAAATTACTCCAACTAACCCCCGTTTAAGCTTTTAGGTTTTAAAGGAAAAATGCTGTTCCCAATACGCCACGCACCAGAATTCCTCGTCTCTGTTAATCCACGAGGTCAGAGCTGGTGCTGAGCACAAACCTTGCCTCAATGTTACCCCCTCCCACCCAGCAAAGCCCTGCGTCCTGGGGCTCTCACCTGCGGAGGACCCCTCCGAGGAGAGAGGCGTTGAGACACTCGGGGGGCGA